GTAGAGCACCAGACTCTTAATCTGGCTGTCGCGGGTTCGAGCCCCGCATCGGGCTTCAATTTTTCTTACCTCATATGGATTCTTCAATGAGTCAACTAACATATCATCATGATAATTCGGTTGTTCCATGTAAAATTTCAAAGCGTCCAAAATATTCTTATGTCCTGGATTTTGAATTAAGAATGTGTACGCTGCTTGTACTGCCAAAGATAATTCTCCCATCTGGGTATTTATATTAGTAAAATGGTAAGAAATTAAGTGGTCATACGTTCCAATAGCATATATGAAGATATTCATAAGGCTTTCTTTCCATGAAGTCAAAGTATGTGGTCATTTTCTTCAAGTCTGGCCTCATATCTTAACAAGTTGAAACTCGACTCAATATTAAATCTGTATATCTCACCTGTGAAGCGATCTCTCTTACATCTTAAATGACATAAAGCTCTTTCTGATTCAGCATGATATTGAGAGAAAAAATCCTCTCCTGGTTTTTCTATTTCTGTCTGACATTTTTTCCGGCAACTAATTAGCTCATCCTCATAATATCTGCAAATCCACGTTGAGATATCAGAACAGCTATCAACTTACTTGTAATCTTCCCAGGCACGCCTCATGAATGCTATACAATCGCCCCATTCTCCGACAGTGTATGCAACTTTACCCTCCTGATACAGTTCTTCGAACGTCATTTCGGGCTGATCAGGAGTACAAAAGACATGAGGAATATGGAATAGAGCTAATATAAAGTAAGCCAGCATCTGTTTGAAAAGTGAAGGAATGTTAAAGAAAGTTGTGGAAAGATGTCCCAGCTGCTGACCTTTTGCCCGAACAGCCATTATAAACTAGCAAATGTCACAACGATGGATCAATTAGGCCTGTCGGGTTCTTATGCTTACAAAAGTGCTCTGTTTACCGGACCTCCATCTTAGTTTCATACGAACGTTAGAAAACAGTTTTCAACAATTTAATAACTTTATTATCTATGAATATCATCTGTAACCGTATATGAAACAACATTAGTGTGGCTGAGGGACATGGCCGTCGACATAGAAATTCCTTGTCATTTGAGGTAATGTAACAGTTAAGCCGTCCATATCCTTTCTGAAATTTAGCTCGTTACCTAGGCGTTACTCAACTCATCTACCTGAGAATAATCTGACATCCTAAACGAGAGTTGTGCCTTAATGCTGGAGCTTGATCTAACATGTCGTCTTCTTCTTCTTTTGGTTCATCTAAGCCATCGTAAAACTTTTCGTCTACATAAACATGACAAGTAGAGCAAGCGATTGAAGCTTCACACGCTCCTTCCAATTCAATATCATACCTGAAGAGCACAGTGATCAACAAATATTAAGAAGAAAAAGAAACCTGTGAGCTAAATACATAACATTATCCCCAACTTTCCCTCTAATTTTCTTCGGCGTTCCATCTCTTAATATGTAAGTGATATTAACAACATCTTCTTCGGATTGTGGGTCTTTGTATTCAAAATCTCCATGATTGGACTTTAAAGAGGTTGAAATGGTACGAATTGAACTGTTCTGAACATATGAAGAGTTGATCAGTTTTGTGAAAGCTCTTAACGATGAAAGCATAACAAAACTTCTGAAAATTGAAAATTGACGATTAATGAGTGTTGTGTTAGAAGTTTGGCGAAAAAAACGAATGCAACCGCTCTGTATGTCAACAAATCAAAGAAAAAAAGAAAAAACTATATCTAGTATGGTTAAACCGAAGATTGTCTTCCGCATATAATGTCTCTCAACTACTATATTTCGAACTAGCGTTTACATATTACCGATACAGCTTACTCTCAAATTATTTAGTCTGGTGTCGTTTGAATAAAAGCACCCTACGAGGTCTACGTGATGGAAGATGGGTATTTTCATTCGCACGAAGCTTTCTCATTACATTGTTATTGTTTGACTCATGGCTTTTCGTTTATATTAAACATTTCCATATTATTTCATTTTATTCTGTTCAGAAGACGGCTTCTTCTCAAGGCGAGAGAACGGCGTTAATGGCGCCTGATCCCCGCCTAAGAACTCGTGGTCGGCATCCAGCTGCTCAGCGCGTTCATCGACACTCAGTAAGCTCTTTATGATTCATAAATTAGCATAATTGAAACTATAGGCACATCGTTATGTTGCTGGAAGAGGTGGAGGTGAATCGGAGATCAGTTGCTGTGTTAAGTATTCTGTCTTCGGGTTCAATGTTCTTTTTTTCCTAATCGGGTTCGCATTACTCTTGATAGGTGTTTGGGCGCAAGTTGAGAAAAATAACATATACAGCCACTTAAACAAGGTATAATATTCTAAAAGTTTGTCCGTTGAAACCATTCAATTTAAGGCATCGAAGCTATATTTGGATCCTACTTACTTATTATTAATCATCGGGTTCATTACTTTTATGATAGGTACTTTTCTTTTATTTTTGCTAACACATTCATCATGTTTTAGGGTTCAGTGGATGTGTCGGATCTCTGCGAGAAAATACTTCCTTTTTAACATTTTATTCAACGTTACTAGGTTTACTACTCATCGCAGAATTTTCGGGTGCTGTGTTTGCTTATGCTTGTCGTGATCAATTAGATACTTATATCCGGAATTTACTTAACGATGTGGTCAGTTTGAGTCTGCAAAAATAGCTTATGAGTCAATCCATTTGAAGGTAGTAGGATACCGTGATGATCCTGATCTCCAAGTGTTGATTGATACTATGCAGGAGAGTTGGCACTGTTGTGGTATAAATGGGGCTGATGATTGGGATAAAAACACATATTTTTCCATAGCAGCAAGAAAGGTATATTGTAAATTTGCCTTCTTCTATTAACTGTTCTGGTTGAGGTTGCTTCTCCTGAAGCTGGAGGTGTTCCTTTTTCATGTTGTTTGAACAGCAGTCAACAGGCTTTCAAGAACTTCTATTGCGGCCATGGTGTTCGCTTATCAAAGGTATTGTAATTACGTCTGATTGGTAATAATCAATGAGTCATTGTAGGATGTGTCAAGCACAGCGGCCAGAATCTATACGGATGGTTGCTTACCAAAACTACAGCTCTGGCTGAATAACAATGTTTTCTTAGTTGGAATAACATTAGTAATCATCGCTGTTGTTCAGGTAGGAATGATATGAATAACGCAATGCTCATCCTTGCTTTCAGATTCTTGGCATTTGTTTCGCTCAAAATCTGAAAAGTGACATCTTCGCTCAGCGAGCGAAATGGTATTATACTCATTAAGTATTAAGAAAGAATTTGATATTTTTTCTTTAAAATTGTGATCATCTATGTGTACATTCATCATTCCTTTACGTATAATACGAAGCATTAATCTTTCAGTGAAACTTGGGTTTTATAACGAACAATCTCATTCCTGTGTTTCTTTCTCCATTTTTTTCATAACACGTGCCTTCCTCATCACCTCGCATTTTGTATCTTTTCTACGCTTTGAGTTTTATCATATAAGTGGCTTTTATCGTAAATCTACTTTGATATTCTAATAAACACTCTCTACTTCTTCATTTTGATGAATCAGAAGGTATCCATAACCTCTATATCTTCTCAATCAACAATATCTCATTTAACAATCATACAACAGATGATCGGGAATATAAAATCCTTCGTTCGCAGAAAACTTGGGTTGGAAGCCGAAGAAACCACCGAAGCACCTCCTCAAAACTTGGAAGAAGTTATTGCTAAGTTGCCTGTAAGAGTAATCATTCGGGAATTTTTTGAATAGAGTTTTTGAAGGCATCTTTCCAAGCTTATATCAATGAAGAATTGGTATATCGACGAATGGCTGCTATCGTTTTCATCCTCCTCGTAGTGCTGTTGGGATTGCCATTGTGGTATTACACGACAGCATCAGAGCGATTTCCCTTCGCTACATTCCCGAAAAACCAAAAGATTGTCTTCGACATCAAGTTAGAGATAAAATGTCGCTGTGCACTGTATATACTTTCTAGAGTTTCAACAGCTTGTACTGATCAGCGATTATGTGATGAGTTGGCCTCTTTCGATCCTATAGTTATCCAGAAATTGAGTGAAGCTGAGGTTGTAGATCCTCTCCAAATCAAATGGTCGATTGAAAGCAGAGGAAAGAGGTTAGCCATTTTGGCTATTGGTTTGACTAGAAGCTTTCTAGAACTTTGGAGAGCACCGCAAATGAAAAAAAGTCTACGTTCGGATCTTCCTTGGAAGTGAAAGTTTTGACAATACCTTCGAAAGACTGGCCTTTCTTCTCAGCTACCAATGTACATATGTCAAAAGGTGAATGGGCATATTTTCAATGGAAAGAGGAAGAAGCAAATGAGAAGCGCATTGAACGCCTTTGTGAACTCATTCGTGAGGTGAGATCTCTGAGTAATGTTATGCAAAATATGAATTGTCTAATTAGGTCTTAGTTGATGTTCCACATTTGAATGTTATTGTTAGAAGAGATTTAAGACAACGAATGGAACCTTGGCAAATAGCTACTCTACCATTATCTCATCAGGTAACGGTTTCGTCGGGTTTCCAACCTACTTCTCGATTTGAAGAAACGACTAGTCTGGGATTCTGCTCCTTTAGCCATGAATTATATCGTTCAAATTATGCATATTCACGATAACGCTAAACCAACTGAGCATGAGATTAACAAGACTGAACTTGTTGTTCGTAAGTTGGCTCAAAAGCTGAGAGAAATCACAACGATTGAAGTATGCTACAGTTTACTTCTAGTAGAACTTCATTACGATTTCAGGTGACTTCTGAGCATTTGTGGGATTTCTCTATTTCCTCGTTTTTGGAGAAAGATGTTCAGGATCGCTGGACTCTTTCAAATTCGAATATGGAGAGAGTGATCAAAGAGGTTTTAACAACTGTTGGTGCATACATAACTTTTATTATTTAAGGTTGACGCTTATTCTCAATCGGTTGAATCAGACTATCCGCTTTTGAAGATTGTAATTCTAGAGTCATTAGAACCAATTGTCATGCTAGATTATTATGTAAGCTTCGAATCTTACATGAGAATGAATGATCCTTTTTTAGAATGAGGATAGTAGAGGAGCAGCTATAGCTTCCTGGGGAGCTGTCGTTCCAAGAACTGAGCATACAGAAAGCCGTATTTTAGCATCGATGCGTGTACTTTTGGGTGTCGATGCTGAATTAGGTATAGGATGGACCAGAGAATCTGTTCCTCTAGCTTTCTGGGAGCTAAATCGTATGAGACTAAGAGCAACGTTGGATAACGCTATGAAAGGAATTAGTGCAGTAGCTACTTTGAAGGTTGATATGTGACAGATACCAAAAGCTAAGGAATTATTTCTATTCAGGTGCTTGAACAAGAAATCACTACTATTGTGATCAACGAAGAAGTAGCTTCCAAAGCTAACAAAGCAGTAGATTATATAAAAAAAGGATTAGCTCTTTCAGATTCTCCTGATTTAGCATTCGTGAGTGTCAACTTCATTTTGACATTAGTTTGTTCTTATAAAAAATTACTTTCAGATAAAGAAAGGCCGGCTGCTAGCTGATCAAGCGATCTCTCATCCTTCACTTCTGTCTATTCTGTATTTCCCTCAAGATCAAACATTCGCAGTGTATGTTCCGATTCTCCTTCCCATTTTGATGCCATTCCTTGCATCCTGCTATCAGCTGTTTAACTGGATAGTATTAGATCCAATCTCCAAACTCCCTCCTTTAACTCATTATTCGATTGTAGCTTTGAGCATCGCTTTCTTATCATACTTAGGTAACGTGATCATATCAAAATATGTAATACCGGGAAATTGAAATCTCCAACTTCTAGTCCAGACTAACTTATTAAGAATCTTTTGTACATTTCATCCAAGTGCGGGTTAAGTACTGATTGCGTCCAATCCATATGTTTGTAGTTTCGATTTCGATTGTGGTTGGTTTGAATAATTAAACATTTCATACAATTTTTTATTTCCTCCAGTTTTCTTTGAGTTTTCATTAATTTTTTTAAGAAAATTTATAGATTAATCCTTTTTTTGAGTTTCTTGCATTAGCAAGACCTTTCAGCTCTTATATCGAAACCATAAAAACAGAAAGTTGTAAAATACTGTTGAATTGATGAGGGGAAGTACATAAGAATTGCCTCAGTGAGCCCTTTCCACGATCGTGGAAAAATTGATTTCAACACCAGGGTATTAAGAGAGGAAAAGGCACTAACAACGACGACGACGATAAACGGGCTGTTCACACCTCATTGGAGAAATTCCAATCGAGATAGCTTTCAGCTTTCGGAGTTGAGCTCCTTTTCCTTCCTTCTTTCTCTTTCTCTCTCAATAAAATCTATATAGTCCCAATTTAGTCAAGCATTAGTTTTGATTCAGAAAAATGTGCTTTCATCTAGATGAAGGTTCGATCTTTTAACACACTTTGCTATATTTGGAGTCTTCATAAGAACACTCGTTCCTGTGTCCGATTTTTTTTCTCAGTATTTATGTTCAACAATGTTTTGTATTAGACAAACGTGTGCATGGATGGGTGCGTGGTGTTCGAGTAACAAATCGTCCAACTATGGTGGTGGTAGGATGGCATTTGATCCTGACGAAAAGTGGTCAAATCTCTATAGAGAAAGAGAAAAAAACCATCTCTACAAATGGGTTGGAGTTCGCAAAGGTTAGTTCGAAGTTAGTTAGTTGCAGTTAATAGAAATTGTATATTCAGATGGCGAGCTCATAAGCACATACGAAAAAGATTCGGAAGAAGGAGTGTTGAAGTTTTCAGAAGAGAAAATGCCTTCTATGCTTTATGATGATGGTCTCAAAGGTGGTCATCTGATAAAATATAACGAATACTTGAAATGGCGTAAAGCTCTGGTAATATTAGAAATAGTATATAAGACAAGCGTGAGAATTTACAGAATATGCAATTGGGTCTGTCGGATGACGGATTAGATATGTGCCAATCAAAGTTTGTAGAGCATCGAGCTTTATGGAAAATGAATAAAAGAGGAATAGATGGAGAGAATATTGTTCATTTGTTACTTAATAGGTTTGTAGTGCGCCACATGTGTTAATCATACAACTGTCTATGTAGGGATCAATTAGTTTGCCATGAAATTGCTAGAATTCTTCTTCGTCGATATCCAGCTTTGGCCAATGATATCTATCTCGGAGATCAAAAATTCGGTACTTCTCTCTTCCACACATTGCTTCGGAAAATTCAGATAATGACGATGTGCAGCGATTGAAAATGTTCTCGTCATCATTTACTCATTTCACTCATCTAATTAATTTTGAGGATTAGTTCTAGGATAGAACTGGAACTGCTACATTAAAAATACAAGAGGAGTGAATGAGCCTTAAAGAAAAGCATTCAAATGAAAAGAATATAATGCTAAATGCAATTAGTTCAATCTTTTAGATGATAACATGTGAAATTTAGGACAATCAGCTCTGCATCTTTCAATTGTTCACGATGATTACGAGACTATTCAGCTGCTTCTCAGTTGTGGGGCTGATGTAAATGCTAGAGCTTGTGGAAGCTTCTTCTTGCCTGAAGATTACAAAAATCATCAGAAGATAATTGATTACCAAGGTCTGGTTATAACGTTTTGCGAAAATAGGTTTAATAGGTCGTCGATCGGCATGACCAATAGGTCTCAGTGAGAAAACGTGGCTTAACATTAGACCTTTTCGGAAAAATTGTTTTTGTTGTTTTCCGTAAGGGCTTAAAGCGTGATTGGTTTTGTCTGAATGACACGTTTCACGTCGCACACGTTATTTTAATTTGACAATTCGAAATTGATTGTGTAGTTCGCATAGAACGTACGGTTGTGTTTTCTCTGTTTGAATAACTTAATGGTTAATGGCTTTTGGTTTGCAGGTTACGCTTACTATGGAGAGTATCCTCTAGCTTTCGCTGCCTGTTTTGGTAATAAGGATATTTATGATTTGCTCATTCAAAATGGAGCTGATCCGAACAAGCAAGATTTCTTCGGGAACACTGTACTTCACATGTGTGTTATCAACTACAGCAGCGTATGTTCTTTCACGTTGCTATGAGATAATGACAATGTTCTAGTCGATGTATTCTTATGCGGTGAGGCATTGGGCAAAACCAGCTGATCCAAATATAGTGAATGAAGCCGGATACACTCCTTTGACGTTGGCAACAAAACTGGGTAGAAAAAACATTTTTGAAGAAATGTTAGAGTTAATGAAAGTTGTAAGTAATTATATGGTAATGTAGGTTATGAGAAGAAATGTATTTATAGGAGTTTTGGCGGTTCTCTGATATGACATGTTCAGCATATCCATTAACTACATTGGATACCATCCGACCAGACGGAACAACAAGTAAGTTGAGGAAGTTTGAAAACATGAAGTTTGTCTCTCAAAGATTACGATTCTGCTCTCATGACAGTAATCAATGGAAGTACCCCAGAACACTTGGATATGATTGGTAGCGAGGTGATACAGCGTTTGTTGGCAGATAAATGGAAGGCTTTTGCAATGGTTTGGACTTTCTCCTTTCCGCAAATGCAGATAACATGTTTAGAGAAAACTCATTGAACGTCTAGTCTTGCTCGTGATTCAATTAATCACTTTATCAGTCGTTGTGTATATAAGACCTACAGAAAGTAAACGACTATATATGGAGGAACCGGAATGGGATGACTATGTGATTTTCAAAAGCATAAACTCATCGAACTAGTTGATTGTTTCAGGTTCGAACTGTTGCTGAGGTTCTTACAATTCTGAATTGTCTTTTCTTTGTGTTTGTCCAGCAGATTACAGAGTTTCGTTCACATGGGTTGCATGGATACCTTAGGAATTTGGTATTTCTTCTTAGATGTCATCCCATCTGTTACATCTCATTGTAGAGCACAGCGCCAGCCAAAGCAGTTTACTGTGTGGCCAACCTTTGCATATTAGCTTGTATACCATTTAGATTTTTGCGTTTACATGAATATGAGGAAGCTCTGTTCGTATTCGCATTACCTGGCTCATGGATTTTTCTTCTTTTCTTCGCTCGGTATTTGAAAGATGTTCATGTACAACAGAAACCATTACGATCGCATTTCAGAAGTGCCAAACTCACTGGTCCATTTGTACAAATGATTTATAGTATGATTGCGGGAGATATGATCCGTTTTGCAATAATTTCAGCAATTTTCCTAGTTTCATTCTCACAAGGTATGTGAACTGCGAGTACTCTTCGACCAACGCACTTTCAGTATTTTACTTTGTGGGGAAAGACATGGCTGCGAAGCAAAGGCTTAACTCAACAAATCCAAACCATTGTGCTATCTCGGGATATACCATTTACACATATAGTAGCTTTCCTGAGACATTTATTACATTGTTTCGGGCTAGCATGGGAGGTTATGATGTGAGTCACTCGGTGCCCTTCAATTGAAAATGAAATTATTATTTCTAGTACGAAGAGTTTGCATGTGCCAACTATCAAGCGCTGACAAAGACCTTATTCGTTCTATACATGTTCGTTATGCCAATCATGATGATAAACATTCTCATTGCAATGATGGGAAATACGTATACAACTGTCATCGCTCAAGCAGAAAAGGCTTGGAGACAACAGGTATTCATGAGAGGACAACTGCTTTTATCTCAACAACTTAAGTATGCACAAATCGTAATGAATTTGGAAAGATCAGTGGATAGAGAAAAGTTAGCTGCAAGTCAACTTGAGTATAGTATACGACTGAGTGAAGCGTTCGTTTACTTATTTGATATCTTTTCTTGAGACTGTTTTTTTATTTATAGAGATCCCGGGCAAGAAGTGCGAGGCTTGATGGTCATTAAACAAACAAAGAAGACTAGAGCTCGGCAACGGAAACAGGCGATTAATAATTGGAAAACAATTGGAAGGAAAGTGAGAATGTTTTTCTTCTTCTTTATTTTATGTTCTATTTTCTCATAGGTTATTCAAACAATTGATAAAGTCGGTAAAGTACAAGCGAGTATTCTTCTTCATGTACACGATCGTATTTGTGATGAGAGAGCAGAACGGTTTTACAGTCGAGCTCCTTCGAGAGTGTCTCACAGAGGATCAACTCCAAGACCTGAAGTAACAAACTGCACCTTTCCATCAATCAAACAGCTCTCTAGGTGAAAGTTAGCGATACTTCCGGTGTATCTATAGGAACAACACTTCATCCGTCCACAGCTGAAACTTTGATGGTCTTACCTATTGCTGAAGTAAAATAATTCTAAATACACGTGCCAAATCTTTGAACGTTACAGAGACGAACGAGCAGATCTCATCGGGGCTCTCTAAATGACGAACTTACTCGACCACGTGAAGGATATAACAGTCCGGTTCCCTTGGTTCAAGAAACTTAAAAACTTGAATAATGAGATTCTTTTAGCCAAGGCGCCACTCAACGAAAGATGATTCATTTGAGCTACCAAATATTCCACCAACTGTGAATCGTCGTTCGGATTTTTTTCGAAAACGAAGAGATTAGAAATTAAAATCATTCTCAATCTATCATTCATATAGAAGTTCGTCTAGTTTGCGAAGGCCTTTCATGCTCAGCTTCATATTTTTTCTATAAATCAAATATATTTTGAAATGTCAAAGACATTTGTTTTTTCTTGTTTTTATGAAGAAATAAAAAAACACTTTGAATTCTCATCATTTGGTATTTTCATTTTGACGTACAAAGTACGTCATACGTCACGTAGACATTGACGTAGCTTAGCTTTCCTCGAAGCCATTTTCATTTTTGCAGAGATGTTGTGCGGTTGCTCATAGATAGTTGTGTGCTCGTTCTATATCTCCCCCCTTTTTTTCTCTTTATATTATTGTTCAGCTTCTACAATGCTACTCATACTATACATATATTCAGATGCACAAATATCTTGAGCAGCAGGTTTAAAACTTTTTATTAAAAAATTTCAAAATAAAATTAATATTTAATAGCAATTTGTTTCCTATCACATTATGAGAATGATATGATGATATTCATACAAAACATGAGGTGATAAGTTAAGGCAAATACCATGAAAATATGAAAAAAAAGAAAAAAAATTTACATATTTATACAAGGTCACCCCGGTAATAAAGTATCTTTTGGAAAGTAACAGATGAGACCATGAAAGTAATAGGAAATTTGATTTTGTTCATAGAAAAACATAGATATTCATATATATATATATATGTATAACAACTTTTTTTTCCTTATATAAAGAATAAAAACTGAAAGAGGATTTGAATGGAATTCTCAATTTGAGGTAATAATGAGATATCCTGAGATTTGATATTTCATATAATAAAAATGAGCTCTGAATATATCTTTCATGTTAGTAACGAATATGAATAGAAAATGGACTAGAATATAGCTATTTACAGATAATAGTTAAGGAATTTGATTATAATATTGAACTCCCGCATAGTTTGGCATTTGCATCATGACGCCTGTCGAGTTTGGTGGTGTTGGTAGATGATGTGCAAGATGTAAGCCGTTTGAAGGTGTTGTACCTCCGTTTATCATATAACTTACAGTTGTTTGAAATGCATTCTGCATTGCTAACTGGTTAATGAGAGGAGCAGTGGAGTTATTGATTGATGAGTTAACCGAAATCCCATTATGAAGATGTTGATTAAGAACATTTCCATGTTGTTGCCGAACATCTGGTTGATGATGAAGAGGAGGAGCTGGTTGCGGAAGATGTTGTTGTTGAGCTTGAGCTGTTGATGGAATTCGAGATGTGGTCGGCTTATGACACATTTGAATTAATTCATCGAAATCAATCAAATGGAAAAGGCTGTTCATTTGTACTCCTTCGTTCATCAAATGACATAAACTCTGAAAATCACATTTCATACTTGTTTTTCTGAACAAAAAGTTCAATTACCGTTATGGCACTAAGCATGATCATGAACTTAGCTACTCGACAAGTGGCAGCTGAAGCAGTTGTCACCTTATTTTTCCTTATATAGGCATATAAAGCATTAATATATTTTTCTCTAGCTTTTGCTACAATAGCTTTTCCTTCTTGAGATAATCCACAATCTAAAAGGAGAGTCAATGGATTATAATAATATTTTTTTGTTCTATTTCTTACCATCTGCAAAGACGACGATTGCCTTCACCATCGCAAATTCAAAATCATCCATTTGTAAAGCTCTCATAGGTCCGATGACGTAATTCATCAGACGAGGCATGCATTCTTTATAAAAACTGTAGATACTATAAAATGAGTACAGTTAGACTTTTATGATCGTGAATGATTAAACAACCTTGGATGCCCTTCAATAAGAGGATGATATGAACGATTGGACATACACAGTCCTGGAACATCAGCTTTCATCGAATAATACGAATGGGAAACCCTGGAATTATCCATTATCATATATAAGAACAATATAATAAAGATTCTAACCATCCATGATAAACTAAACGCCCTCTGGCTAAGATATCTTGATCTTCTATTGACAATTCTACGAAATCTTCCAAATTATGGCACCAATCGGAGTAGTAAATGAAATGTCTACGCCATCCTGAAACATTCCAAATGATTTCTTTTTCAATGTCAAATGAACCTTCAATGAAGTCGGAAGGACCCATTATTCTTTCTCCAGAAAAACACATCGGGAAACGTGGACTAACTAACAAAGGTCGACGAAAAACGGTCTGAACGAAAAAACATTTTTTTTATCGCTTGATTGATGAATTTCCTTACCCCAAAAGGTAAATTTATGTGTTTTTTATTTAAATTACCGCCTTCTTCCTTCTCAGTTGAGGTGTTTGTGATCTTCAAATAGTTTGCTATAAGCTTTTAATCTCACAATTTCGCTTACTGATAGTTCAATTTGATGTAATTTTTCTGGAACTGTGTTGACGTCATAAAAGCTTGGAGTTGGTAAATCATGAAAGTCTGCTGGAGATGTTCCAGGCTCCATCTTGATGTAAGGAGCTGGAAAGCCATCTAGAGGTGAATCATACGTCTCTGTCTATAACAACACTTCAACTGTTTATGGCTATTGCAATGCAATCCTACTTGAACACATTGATCGACCATTGGTGATTTGACGCGAAACTTTTTAATTCCATTCGGTGTGAAACTGCCAGACATGCTACCTGGTGTTCCAGCTGATTTAACATTACGATCTCTCTCATTTTGGACAGCTTAAAAGAAGAGTATATAATGTAATTGATGCAGTTACGTACAATCTGGGTTCATTCCGACTTCAAAACATTTCTTTAAACGACATGATCGACAAACGTTTCGATGCTCTTTAACAACCGGACAATCCCCTCCAAAGCGACAAGTATATTGTCGTCGACTCCAAACACTAAACACTTATGTATAAGTAAAAAAGAATAAAATAATAAACAAATGATACCTTCTACGAAAAAATCCTTTACAACCATTACACGCATTGATGCCATAGTGTTTACCAAATGCTACATCACCACAAACATCACAAATGAGGCCCGTTGTCAATGAACTACCATTTGGATAATCAACAGAAGTATTTAAAGATGATGGACTAGTATCTCCTGAAAATTATATTTTTCTTATTTCACCATTCAACATTTTCATTTTTCATAGCTTAAAATTTATATTCGTCTTCTCTTAAAGTACACTCAAATTTTTAACCAAAAAAAGAAGTTTTTAAAAACAATTTTGTATGAATGACCCAGACTGACTATCATTGAAATCATCTTGTACTTTCATTTCAAAAACTTCTAAAATCTTATGATCAGATGGTTTTATGAGTAATTGGTTACACCAAAGAACATTTTTATTTCGATTCGCAAATGAAATTATTTAATTTAGTCATATGCAACCGTTCTGTGAGCATTTCATTTACATGAAATGATTACTGCGTGAGATAGTCACGTGTTCACGTTTTACGTGAAAGATAGTTTGTATATATACATATATATATATATTCAAATGAAATGAATATGAATTGTGTAGGTGGCTGATTTTCGTTTTGAGACATACACACTCACATTGAATGAGCAAATGATCATTTCATAATTCAATACAGATGATTACGTTCAAAACTAATGTTTAGAAGGCCTACCATAGAAATTTGAATAAGCAGCAGGTGCCGGTGGAAACATATGATAGCGATTGATTGAAGGATCAGCGAATAACATTGTTATATTATACTCTTGCTAAGGAAGATAGTCTATTTTGGCTGATATTGATATTGTCAAAGTTCAAAAACTTCAAACTGTCTGTTTAGGACGTCGTTGTTCAGACGTCGTGTTGTCGTCAAAAATGGATAGCTGTCTATGGAATTCAGTCAAAAAGTTACGTCTTCACACAGCCGTTTTGAATCTGAGAGCAAATAAAAGGTGAAATATAGCGATTGAAAGAAATTAAAAAAGAAAAAGAAAGATAAATGTAGAAAGAAAAAAGTACAAACGATGGAGAGTACAGAGATGTTCAATCAAGAGTGAGAGTAACACACACTGCACACAAAACGATAGAGAAAGCAGAATATTGAAGAAGGGTGGAGAGGGGGGGGGGAAAGAAAGTAAAAACAAAAAAGAAATAGAAACCTAAAGGTAGAAAAGTTGAGCTTGTGTTATCAAGAACTTCACCTTTAGTTTGACTAGTAAGCTTAGATGTGTTTACTATGGCTATGGAAATAGATGATGACGATTAAAGCTTATCTCAACTGAGATATTTATCATGGAAATCTATTAAGCACTATGAAAGAGGAGGAAAAAAAAAAGAAAAGAAGAAGTAGGGATATGCAAATGAGGATATTAAGGTGAGGAAGAAAAAAATTGAGAAAAGCGAATGAGAGAGAATACAAAACGACAAAGAGAATTCAGAATTAAACTAGAAAAGTCTGCCGTTGTCGTCGGTCGTTGTGTCTTCAACCAAAACATTCAACACGACAACGTCGACGAACGTACGCGACGCCACAAAGTGCAAGAGAACCTCGGGACGACAACGTCGACGTGGGGGGCTTTCTGTCTTTTTTCTCTCTCTCCCTCTCTCTCTCATTCTCTCTCTCTCTTTTCATTCGGTAAGAGTTTTGCTCATGTTTTTCACAAAAAATATTCGTCTGCGTATGACTGCTCTTTGGGGTTGACCATCACGTATATTTCTTTAAAATGAATATTCTTTAGTCTTATACAGACTGATAATTGGCTAGTTATGACGAAACAATGTCATTACGAATAATAAAAAAAAGGATATTTTAAAAAGAGGAAAGTATAAGATTTTGAAAGTTTAAATTAGAGTTGAACTAACTCAAGTACACTGAATGGCGAAGAAGACGTTGTCAATAGCAAAACTTCGAATACAAAAAAATAATAAAATAATTACGTTAATTATGTGTAGAAATGAATTTTTGAATAAAAGAATGTTTCAAAGAAAAAAAAAAGATTAAAAGTGAGTAGTTGGGCGAGGAAGCGCTTTGATTCACAAAAAAAGACGAGAAGAGGGAGATAGAGAGAGAGAGAAAGACAAAGATGAAAGATAAAAAGAGAGAATTTCTCTGAGAAATGAAGAAAAACAAAGAGAGATATAAGGAGAAACCCTTTTTTTTCTCTTTTTTTTTATCAAAATAAAGTGTCTTGTTGCTAGAGAAATGAAATAAGGAGATTGGTAGAGAGTAGGAAATAGAATGAGACATATAGGGAGGGAGAGACAGAGAAAGAGACAGTGAGAGAGGAAGAGAGTGAGATGAAGGAAGAGAAAGAGATAGATGGATAGAAAGAGAAAGTATGTTTTTTAAGGTTTTGAAAGAGGCAGAGAGGGAGGGAGAGAGAGAGATGAAGAAAAATGGAAAAACAAGAGTGAACGCCAGACAAAATGAGGGTATGAGGCTGAGAATGAGCTTAATTTTCATACAACTTGCCCTTGATAGCCTTTTGAAGGGAAGAAAAGGACAAACTGACAAGCATTTCAAGCGAGCTTTATCTCCCGCCTACATCAGATTTACACTCATTATGTTTTTGAATTGTAGGCGGAAAATTTATAAAGATTATCAAATCCTCTCTATCACTTCATTATCACTAATTAGCATATTCACGTGAGAAAGGCAGAACACGTGATGAGATACTTTCATTTTCGATTGATTGTAAGTGCAGAACGGCTGATTAAATATAAATAACATTTTCATAAATGAAATTAGGGCTTTTATTGAAATTTACAGCAAATTGTCGTCTCTCTCTCTCTCTTATTCACATGCGCCTCTCTCTCTCTCTCTCTCTCTCTGTATATCTTCGTCATCCTCTCATGGCTGCAGTGCAGATACATTCGTTATGCATGATCTTATTAAGGTTGTACTTTACTTTTGAGCTTTTATTCTCATCTATAATTATTGGAAAACAAAAAAATGAACTTAAAAACAAAAGTTTGCAGAATCTGTTCTAACTCAGACGTGGAATAGTTAACGAAACAAGAGAAGGGGAAATATAACTCAAAATCATTTATGAATGGAAGGGCATTCAGATAACAGCTTAATAATAAAAAAAGAGAGAAAATGAAAGAAGTAGAGAGAATGAAAGTACGAGAAAGAGAGAGAGAGAGAAAAATAAAGGGCGAGGGAGGGAGAGGGAAGCCAGAAGGCAGATAGAGATTACTTGTACTCTTATATTCCTTTTGAGGGAAATAGGCAGTTCAGAAACGAAAGTACAAGTTGAAGCTTGCTCCATGTTTCTTGGTTTTCCTTTTAGTCCAAAAATGGTTAGGCTTAAACATGGAAAACATGCGGAACAGAAAAAAAGCCTTTCTTTTCTCATATTTCTCTCTCTCTTACAATCTTTCACCCTCCTTCTCTCTCTTTCTAATCATCTTCATTCCTACAATCATATCGTGTATGCAAATTTTAGTTCCATTTTTTTAAGAAAACAAAGAGAAAACAATTAAATTTGAAATGAAATATTGTATAATTGAGTTTGTTTAGTTAAATTGGAAATAATTCAATTAATGAAACCGCAAAGAACTCATCTTCTTCATCTTCAAGACAGAGAGAGAGAAAGATGAAACAATTAAAGTTTAAAAAGGATTCGAAAATATTGGAAATAACAAGTAGATGGAGAGAAAGAGAGAGAGAGAGAGAGAGGAGGATAGAACAGCCACGAGTTTCATATCACATGCTCTATTTGCCTGGTGTTCTTCACTCCTCCCTCCTTCTTGTCTACTTCTTCTATTTTTTTTCTCTCTTGCTTCTCTATGTCTCTCAGTTTTCGATATGTATATGAATAAAGATTTATATGCTATGCTTACCTGTATATGTAGATGAATAATCTTCAATTATTTCTAATTTAGGTGTTTGTGACATATTCTCATACGTTGACAGATCCCGGACCATGGGTTTCCGGGACATCCACTGAGTAGAGACTGAAATCATTTATAATATATTAAAAATATAACAGAAAATTGAGAATAAAATGATATTGCAAAGAGATGGGAAATGACAAAAAAAATATATTTTGAGATTTCCAAACAAATGAAAAATAAATGACTTCTACGTGAGAAATGTGCAGCCGGTGCAGATCACACAATACGAGGGTGGCGATAGTGGTGGCCATCACGTGGGCTTTATTTTTTGATTCAAAAATATAACTTTCGCTTTCTACATATCCTCACGCTTATATGTTTTCATCACATTGTATTTCATTTAATTGGCTGAAGATCTGAATGTAGTAAGTGGTCTTCCTGTTAAACAAAAAAAATACTTTTTTCCTTCTCTCTCTTACTCTCTTTCACCCTCCTTCTCTCTCTATTTCCTCCTTCAATTTTTGATTTTGCATGTGTGTTATTCAATGGATTTCCGTCAAATATTAATCCCGATCTTAGCTCAACTATCTCACGATGAAGAGGACAAGAACGCCGAAATGACAAGCTTTTCCTGGCTTCATTTGTATACAATAGTTAAATAATATACAAGTGAATGACGACAGAAATATACATTTTTGAGTGAGAAAGGAAGTAGTAAAGAGAGTAGGCGAGTTATAGAGAGAATCACAGAGAGAGAGAGAGAGAGGGAGGGGGGGAGAAACAGGAAAGAGGGAGGAGGGGGATGCAAGGGAGGGAATAAACATTGAAGATTTCATCCACTATATGATTTAATAAAGAGGATAAAAATATTCTTTTTGTGTACTTCATCGAAGTTCATCTGCTCCTTCTTCACGATTGCAAGATTTTCGAATGTTAGAGAGAGAGAGAGAGATCAAGAGAGAGAAAGAGAGAAGTGTGAAAAAAAGGATTTTAATTTCAAATGATTTGCTAAAGTGGTTTGATGACGATCATGTATGGATTGTCAAAAGCTATCATACCTAATAGGGATAGATAGGGGAAGCTTCCTCGAAAAGGATGAATAACACTCACTGAAGTCTGTTTTCATGAAAAACACAAAGTACAATGACCATATAATGTTTCTTTTAAAATATATATATATATATATTGTGAATAAACAAAAACAATCTCTGTGATGATGAACTTCGCACTCCCTCCATTTCTCTCTCTCAATCTCTCTCTCTTTGAAAAATGAAACATAGCGATGACCGTACTTCGAACAGCAATGTTTATAGGAAAGTGTGAAATGAATGCAACCGCTCTATACAGCCATTTGTTATAAAATAAAAATGAAACAAGCATTATGGCTCATTTGCATATTCATGCTAATGAGGGCTCGTTGAACGGATAGTCGTCAAGAGTCTAATTTTTTAATCATTGCAATGGTTCACAATTTCTATTATTTAAAAGGGAATAATTTGAAAAAATAACTAATTTTTCTCAGAAATTTCAGTTTTAACGATCAGGAGACAGAGAGGGACAGAGGGAATAAGAAGAGTGAGAGAGAGAGGAGCCAACTGATAGTAATCAGAAACTGAAGTATAATGAATTGAAAACAAAAAATGAAATGAGAGACTATTAAGAGGTACAATTGCTCACTATTGAGCACTTAATTAACAAGCAAAAACTTGACTTATGGTGCTCGACCTCTTCCTCCTACAGTAAGGTCGAAGACTTCTGTAGCGGTCAATCGGATGAGCATACAAAAGCTTTTGTCTTTCGTATTTTAGGGGAAAACGTTCAGCCTAATATTACATCCGGTCTACGAAGAGAAAACACATACAAAAGATAAAATGAAATACACAAATAGTTAGCATAACTTAAGGAAAAGCTTATACATCCTTCCTCTTTCGTTCTTTTCTCTCTCTCTCTCTGTGCCTCTCTCTCTGTCTGTGTATACCTAATGATGAGCTGTTATCTTTTGACAAGGCTCAAATACCGTAATGTGATGTAAGAAGTACAGCTAATCATTTCTTAGGAGTGAACGACAGAAAAAAAAAGCGAAAAAACGATAAGGAAGAGTAAAAGATAAAATTTAAAAAAATGTTGAAAATAGTGTGACAGATTGTGTTGGGATTAGGTGCGTTCACTACGAAAAGCTAATTCTCAATGAAAATGTTACAAAAGGAACAAAAAAGGTTATTTTACACGCACAATAACATGAAGAAGACGAACACGAAGTGAAGAGAAAGAAGAAGAAAAAAAAAGAAAAACGAAAGAAATGAAAAAGCAATTACAACTGAAATGCAATGTAAGGCCAGACGTTTAAGATTTTGATAAGAAATCAATGAGAAAAGAGAATGAAGAAGCATGACTAGATGTAAGCTTATCAGAGAAATGTTCAAAATAACCCTTTTTCTCGTTTTCGTTAAAAATAACAAATGTAAGTTCTAAGAATAATATGAAAGAAGGTTTAATACTGCCAACATAGAGATAACAGCATAGTAACACGTACATGAACAACCACTACTGTGAATAGATAGATAGACAGACAGAAAGAAAGATATACATGTATGTATATACAGAGAGAGAGAGAATTATAGAGAGAGAGAGAGAAAGAGAAATGCTAGACTAAACCAGATGAGAGAGTTGCGGCTTTAAACTCCAATTAAGTCTTGAAATTAGTATTCTGCTGCAACACACATACACACACACACATATACTCACACACATACACACATACACTCACATACACATACATATGCTCATACATAGATCAGTCTGTCTCCTATCTCTCTCCCTCTGAATCTCCCTCTGAACAGGCAACATTTCAAATGAAAAGGATAATATTCAATGATTCTATATGTTTCGAAATGAAACATACAAAGTTCATCATCATAATTTCTTAAACATCATTTTAACCTCTAAAAAGAAGAAGCTTCTTCAGCTTAACCTTAAGCTTGAGTTCCTCCTTCGTACTGTAAGGCAAACACAAAAGTTTTTTTTTTCTCATCTCTTTCTCTCTCTGTTTCTCTCTCTCTCTCTCTGTCTTTCAAGGAAATTTCCAAGAATACTTTTCTGCAAAAATGAACGACAAAAAACCTCATAAACTCAATTATAAAGAGGAAAATGAGAGGAATGGAATGAACTGGCCTGTCGCTTCTTCACGAATCATCTATTGATTTGTTCGTTAAATTATTATATTTAATTATAAATGAAATATGAATTATACTAAACTAATTAAACATGTGAATTATTGATCGATGTCACCTCTCTCTCTCTCTCTCCTTTACCACTTCCTCTTTCACCTCTCTATCTCTCTCTCTGTAGAAATCAATTTCATCCAAATAAGGTGCATATTCAGAGAATTAAAAGTTTAATTAAATGAATCATTTGATTGAAAATAAAAATCAATAAAAGTCCAACCTATTCGTGTTTGATGCTTTAACGTTGTATTCAACGAATGAAATGAATTGAAGAGGAATAAGCTCTCAATGATGATAACGAGATGAAAAATATAAAAATTGAAAAAATAAATAATTAAAAAGGTAACAATCACTTAATAATCTATTAGGAACTAAAAGAGACTGCAAATTGACCTTGTCAACTAACGACATACAACCCCCCCCCCCCCCCTTTCCATACATAGCATAGAATGAGAGAAGGTGAGAGTATGATAGAGATAGAGAGATAGAGAACATACATGCATAGGAAACACATTGATACATCATTCTAGCAGTATATATTGTAACAACGTGTAAATATTAACTTTATAATAAAAAAATAACAAAAGTAAAGAAAGAGTATGCCATATGACATAGTCATGTGTCACATGCCCTAATTTACGTGTACGTGTACGTGTGCATGTGTATGAGCGTGTGTGGTATGTGTGTGTGTGTGTGTGATTTGAATGAACATTCGATCGTTTTGATGGAAGTTTTCAATGTATTTTTCATTTGTGTTTTTATCAACGAACAATGAGATAATCAATACATTGATAGAAAAAAGAGATAAGCAAATGATATAACGTTTATTGGACAGCTTAACTATATGATATAAATTTGAATAATCTCTTTTGAATTTTTGAATATTGAAACAGCTGTGTTTCAAACAATTTTAATTGAATTCAGGATGAGTTTTATAAAAGTTGATAGGGAATATTTAAAAGAATACTAAGAGAGATATTGGATGATGTAAGAACTAGTAAGAGAGAGAGAGAGAGTGAGAGATTGAGGTAATTCGAGGAATAAGAGATTAGAACTATCTATTACAAAGAGATTGACGGAAAAGGAGAAATGAGGGAAGGAGAGAAGCAGGAAAGCTTGTTAATTGTATGTTTATGCAAATTTCTAAATCAATTTCTCAAAATATTTTGTTATTTAAAAATATTATTCGAGGTGGGAGGAAGGAGGACAGGGTGGTGGAGAAGGAGAAAAGGTGGTTGAGAGGGAGTCACATAAGTAGTATAGTTAAGAGATAAATAATTAGAAGCTGGCTTGTAATGATAATAAAAACTAAATAATCTTTTGTTATAATCAGCCAAATATGATGATATTCTTTGATTGAAGTATGAATGGATGGTTTATGGTTTACGAAAGACATGCCTTATGAGTAGAAGACTAACGTTGCGAGAGAATGCGAGTCACAGAGATAGAGACAGAGAGAGAGTAGGAAGATGAAGAAAAGGTTAAGAAACATGGTGAAACTTGAATTGATATCAGCTGTAAAATGAAAAACTTCTGATATATTTAAAGGTTAGAAAACGTAACCAATTTATGACGTCATAATTATATGAAAGAGAAAAGGTTTGAAAATGACAGTCTGAGAGAGAGAGAGAAGATTCGTTTGTAAAGAAGCCAAAGAGTGTTTATTTATGACATTTTATGGAAATGATATGATTTGGGAGAAAAAAATGTTTCGTTCGGAAGAACGTCAAAAGTGCAAATGGTGAAATGAAGAGGAAGAGGGAGAGAGAGGTAAAAAGGGGAACAGAGATAGAAAGAGAATATGAGAGAGAATACGAGAGTAGATGGTGTGCTTGTCTCTGTGTGTTTGAACGAAGGAATGAAAATGAATGAATGAGAGCTG